AAAAAAAAAAAAAAAAAAATACACACACACACACACACACGTATAAAATTTGATATGGCCTTTCCTAATTCCCCAAATTTAACTTCACAGACATGAAGATTAAAATAGATCTACAAAAAACAAAAAAGAATAACCCTCCTTATAAATACTGTTCATATATATTTTTTAGTATGAAAATCTTCACAAATTTGCATCTTATCTTTGTGCAGGGGCCATGCTAATCTTCTTTGTATCATTCAAATTTTAGTATATGTGCTGTCAAAGTGAGAAAAATATTGTTTATATTTTAGGGGTAGATGCTAATAATTTCTGCTTTAAAATTATACCATGGAATATTATGCAGCTGTGTAAAGGAATGAGATCATGTCCTTTGCAGGGACATGGATGCAAGTGGAAGCCATCATTCTCTGCAAACTAACACAGGAACAGAAAACCAAACACCATATGTTTTCACTCGTAAGTGGGAGTTGAACAATGAGATCACATGGACACAGGGAGAGGACCAAAACACAGCAGGGCTAATAGGGGGATGGGGGACAAGGGGAGGGAGAACATTAGGACAAACAGCTAATGCATGCGGGGCTTAAAACCTAGATTTGTTGATAGGTGCAGTAAACCCCCATGGCACAGGTATACCTATGTAACAAACCTACATGTTCTGCACTTATAGAACAGAACTGAAACACACACACACACATCCCTCCACATTTTAAATTCTTCTTTTACCCACTGCTTCATATTATATATTCAGTTCCTTGGATCTTAGTTAATGGAATAACTTACCTGTTGGATCTCCTGTTTGAACCATGAAACCCTTGATATTTCTATGAAATATACAGCCATTGTAGTAGTTACTGGCACAAAGAGCCAAGAAATTCTGAAGAGAGTAAAAATAATGATTGAGAAATGATGCAGAAGAAACCCAGTTAAGGCAAAGAACCAATCATATTTACTGAAAACACTATAGCAGCATAAACTATAGCTTTTGGCATTACTTTGGATGTCACTTCCTTTCCTAAAACACTTCAATAGCTTCCTTCTGTTCTTGGAATAAAATGAAAATCTTCAGCAGGGCCTAACAAGCCCTGCAGCACCTGGCTTATCTCTTCATCACATATACTAAGAACTGCTTTCTTATTGCTTACTACTTAAACCCATCAGCATTCTGACAACCCAAAAGGGACAGGATTTCCCACCTTGGGGACTTTGTACCTGATATTTCTATGCCAGGAATGTTCTCTTTTTTTGGAGAGACAGTGTCTCCCTATGTTGCCCAGGCTGGCCTTGAACTCCGGGGCTCAAATGATCCTCCTGCCTCAGCCTCCCAAAGTGCTGGAATTACAGGTGTGAGCCACTGTGCCCGGCCTTAGAATTTTTTAAAATTTTATTTCACAACTCTGAATACCTGGAATATTCTTTTTATACCTCTTTCCATGGAGATGCCCTCGCACCTTCACATTCAGTTTAAGAATTAGTCTCTTGGCTAGGCCTCCCCTCACCTTCTTCCTTTCCTATTATTCTCTATCTCAACACTTAATTTTTTTCAAGGCATTATCACCTTTTAGAATTACTTAATTTTAGGCCAGGCACAGTGGCTCACACCTGTAATCCCAGCACTTTGGGAGGTGGGCAGGTCGCTTAAGTCCAGGAGTTCAAGACCAGCCTGGGCAACATAGTAAGAGCTTGTCTCTATTTTAAAAATTAAATAAATAAATAAAAATAATTTTTAAAAAAAGAAGTATTTAATTTTCCTGCCTTGCTTATTTTTCCAACTAGAATATTTGCTTCATGAGGGTAAGGAATGTCTGTTGCTCGTCACTGTATCCCCAGACTCTGGGGCAAGATGGCCTTTCATAAATAATGGGTTTTTGTTTTGTTTTGTTTTGAGACAGGGTCTTACTCTGTCACCTAGGTTGGAGTGCAGCAGTGTGATCAGAGTTCACTATAGCCTTGACCCTCCAGATTCAGGCAATCCTCCCACCTTGGCCTCCCTTGTAGCTGGGGCAATAGGTGCACACCACCACACTTGGCTAATTTTTGTATATTTTTGTAGAGATGGGGTCTCACTATGTTGTCTAAGTAGGTCTAGAATTTCTGAGCTCAAGTGATCCTGCCACCTTAGCCTCCCAAAATGCTGAGATTATAGATGTTAGCCACTGCACCCGGCCATAAATAATTGTTGAATAAATGAATATATACAGCTGACTCTTCTTCCTTCTATCCTTGTCATTTAAACAGGTGAAACAGGCCGGGCGCGGTGGCTTATGCCTATAATCCTAACACTTTGGGAGGCCAAGATGGGTGGATCACCTGAGGTTAGGAGTTCAAGACCAGCTTGATCAACCCATCTCTACTAAAAACACAAAATTAGCCAGGTGTTATGGTACATGCCTGTAATCCCAGCTCTCAGGAGGCTGACGCAAGAGAATCCCTTGGACCTGGGAGGTGGAGGTTGCAGTGGCCCAAGACTGCGCCACTGCACTCCAGCCTGGGCAACAAGAACAAAACTCTGTCTCAAATAAATAAATAAAAATACACAGGTGAAATAATGTATAGAACAGGCCAGGCATGATGGTTCACACCTGTAATCCCAACACTTTGGGAAGCTGAGGCAGGAGGATGGCTGGAGACCAGGAGTTTGAGACCAGCTTGGACAACATAGTGAGACCTCATCTCTACCAAAAAAAAAA